TTGAGGCTCATTTTTGAAAATGCAAATGAAATTTTAAAATTTATTTTGGCCAAATGTAACATCATTAGTTGCAGGTAAGTAACTTGCACCAAATACACCTGTAATCAATGTAGTCAGGTAGGACTGCACACAAAGGACAGACTATCAGGGACTTAGGAGGTCTATATACTTTGCAGTTCTGGAGACTTGGAAATGAATTTTGAGTGAGTGAGTGAGTGAGTTTAGTTTTACGCCGCTTTTTGCAAATTCCAGCAATATCACGGCGGGGACACCAGAAATGGGCTTCACACATTGTGCCCATGTGGGGAATCGACCCCGGGTCTTCGGCATGACGAGCGAGCACTTTAACCACTAGGCTACTCCACTGCCCCGGAAATGAATTTTGAAGTTCCAAGGGACAGCAAATACACTACAAACAATGTGTGATGCGTTTTGCTTTTTTTTAATTTTATTGTTTGAATCCAAACATTGTGACTAAGTAAAGAAGATTTCTCTGAACATTGACTTCCTCTAGTACAGAAGATATCTCTGAACATTGACTTCCTCTAGTACAGAAGATTTCCCTGAACATTGACTTCCTCTAGTACAGAAGATTTCCCTGAACATTGACTTCCTCTAGTACAGAAGATCTGAACATTGACTTCCTCTAGTACAGAAGATTTCCCTGAACATTGACTTCCTCTAGTACAGAAGATTTCCCTGAACATTGACTTCCTCTAGTACAGAAGATTTCCCTGAACATTGACTTCCTCTAGTACAGAAGATTTCTCTGAACATTGAAACAGGCCTATCAAAGAAATTTTGAGTTTAACTCATGCAACAGCTAAAAAATCAGAAAAGCTCACACATTAATCGTGGGAAATAGCAACATAAACATAATACCCACGCTACTGAAACGCAGAAAACGGCAACTTTAAATAGCAACATAAACATGCATCATCGCTACTGAAACAGTAAAGCCCGCAACTTTAAATCGCTTGCATCATAAAGCATGCGCACATGGAAGCATTATGGAGGAAGTCTCGACCGCATGTTGACATTTTCCAGCTTGGACAAAAGTTACATTCCTTTTTAAGTATTTCTGTTGTGTTATTTGGCATTTATCATCATGATACTTGTGTGCACACTTGTTTAGTTTACTTTCCATTCGTATGAAACGATTGACAGCAATTCTATTTCGACATATTTAATACTTTTTCTACGCGAGGTGATTCACTGTTGCTCGGAAATTGGAAAGAAGCCCGGATCGTAATGCGCATGCGCAGTAGAGGTCAAAGTTCGCTGATATAAAAATGTTGCAGTTTCATAGTTTTTCGTTGCCGTTTTTACTGTTTCAGTAGCGAGGTAATTTTACTGTTTCAGTAGCTTTGGTAGGTATTTGTTGTTTATGATTGCTATTTCCACGATTAATGTGGGCTTTTCAGTTGGTCTCTTTTCTGCACAGTGGGATTAAGTATCCCAATATTTTATGTAGGCCAATCGAATTGCAGGGAGGGCTCGGCAGTAGGGAAAATAATGTGGTTGAGGGACTGTGAGACAGACTAGGTATACTGGTTTCCAGGGATGTATGACTGACTACTATGATCGGTACAGGTCCATATATTGTGTTCTGTTTAGTTTCAATTAGAAAAAAAAAATAACTGTCTAGGAACTGAACAAGCTGAAAGACATTATTGTTCATTTAACTTTTTAAAATTCAAATTTTAAAAGTGTTCATGGTTTTCGGCTTCCTAGATTGTTTCCTTACAGTTGTGACCGTACAACAATAACATATTCAAGTAGTTGGGCCTGTGCTCACAATGACACAATCTCACGGCTGGTTGCCTGGCCTCTGTGGTAGAAATCACGCCTTAGACAAGGGAATCCTTCTCATAGTTGTCTGTTAAGAGTTACATTAAAAAACACTCGTCCAAAGCCTTCAGCACCTTGTTCATCACGGTGTGAAAGATGGAAATTAAAAAATAATAAAATTCATGCATGTGGATCTCAACCCAATAAAAATGTTTTTGCAGATAACCTGCATTCAGTAATTTTCTAAACCCTTTTCAGCATTGATTCAGTGGGGCCTCCCTACTGGGTAGTGTGTGAGGCTATCCAGCCGTGTACTACATCACTACAAAGAGATCAGGCTTACATGGCCCTCACAGATCCCATATCACAGGGAGAGTTACAGCATCACCATCTACACTTACCACTCACTACTCAGATTTGCTGTAGCTCTACTTCCCAAACTGAAAAAACTCTTAGTAAGTGCTAAGTAAGTTCATGTTACTGATGAGAAAAGCCATGCAACATTTAATCCAATAGTATGTCCTATTTTCTTTTCACAGCCAAGTTGATCTAGTCAATAACAATAAAATTTCTTTCCCTCAGAAAAACGTGTTAAAGCGAAGCATAAACCTGCGTCTTGTCTGGGCCCTTGCAACAAACTGTAAGCTTAATAGTTGTGTCCATTCTTAAACCCCCATCACACTCACGATAATTACAGCCCTACGCCAGTCGTCATCTTACACGACAAAACAATAAATGTTACTGGCCTTATTTCAAATTTAACATGAATTTTAGCAAACCTTAACATAACCACAGACACATATAACAGCAAACACATGGACAGAATTAATGGATGTGGAATATTTCTCCCTGCCCGACCAGAGCATGCTGTAACCCAGGGTAGATTGCCGAGTCCAGAATATTTCCCCGAGATGACGATTATCAAGCATTGAGATATTGTGTCCCCCTGTACACGCTCCAGTCTACTTCACAGGTGAACATACTAAAGGTTACCAGATTAAAAGGCTAACGTAAACATATTAATAATAATAATGATAATGGCATCAATAATGCAGTATATTCACATATGGCACTGGGACCTGCTCCACTTTCTACATTATTGTTGGCACTAAAATGCTGTTTCACTGAACTTTGCAACTTTCTTCGACACTTAAAACTGTCTGAAGTTCAATAATCATTAAGGACATAATTTCCATTTTAAGAATGAACAATGTAAATGTTTTTAAAAGTTTGCTATTTAAATATTTCACATTTATATGTAGTCTGTTTCAGTGCACAGAGTGTGCTTCACGGTTTTACCGATATGAACATCAACAAACCGACATCAAGAGCCGATATCCATCCCCTAGCTTTCAAAATATAATAAAAACACTTGGCCGAGGTCAGTAACTTCTCAACAAAGCAGGTATTTTTACCCGATCTCTACAGCATTCCAGTTTACAGTATGAAAAGTTTCAAACACCTTGCAAACATCACTTTAGTTTAATCATTTATACTCATGAAATTAAACAACAAACACATTCAGAGGAAAGAAATTTCATACCCTCAGGAATACCTGTTCAACAACACGTTTCTCATGCTACGACTGTCAGTGTCCAAAAAACAGGTTTTCAACTATTGCAGCAAAATATTTTCATATGCAAACAAATCTGTTAGTTCCGAATTCAAATTCTACCTTCCACCAATATCAAAATGATAATTCAGTTTTCTACACCATTACGACATGTATCAACACTACAGCCAGATATCAGCGCAATTACAAACATATTACAAAAACAGGATTTGAAAAGTCTTTTACTGATGGAATATTGCAATACAAAAATGTAAAATTTTCAAATAAGATTTAAACATCGGTTTCAATGAAAACGGTTATAAAAATTATCCTAAGCTATATCATCTTAAATCGAAATAACATGTTTGTCATTCATCCTCCAGAAAATAGTCAACCAGCAGAATATTCATCCGTTTTGACCCACACACCATGAGGTGCTCCCAGATTAAAACCAAGGGCAACTACTTGAGTAAATCGGCCAATTATAATCTCACTGATAAAGGAACAATAAAGACCCTAAGGTGATCAATGGAGTTCAGGCAGGTTTATTTGCCCTGCAATTTACTGCTCGTTAAGGTGATTGACTCATCAGGTATATCATAGTTCCCTGTCAACTACTGTTTCAGGTTGACACTTTGCAATACTATCTTAATAGTTCCGCTACTGGTCCAGCGCTGATAAGATGATAAGTTACCTGTAAACAACTAACAATATTTCAGCCTAAGTGTCTTCATAACAGCTTAGGGAATTTACTGTTAGTTTCAAGATGGGTGATTACAGTTAATGATTGGTTTCATATTTTGTTCAGCAAGTTCACATAGTGTATTGTCATGAATCAATGTCAATCAATGACTGTTTTGTACAGCCCAAATCATTAAATTTTTCATTTAAATTCAAAATCTTAAATATTCATATTTTAATATCTCTTTCAGTTTTGGCATCAGATTGCAACATTGATTCTGTTGGAGGTTTGACTCTTAATCTTGCATTTATTGTCAAGTGTTTATTATCTGACACTTTAATTCAGCAGTAACTCTGGGACGTAACTATGCACGTTGGTAATTCCAGGCCAGTTTAATGGAATGAGGTAATTTAGATGCAGGCATTGTCGGGAATATTTCTTATCACCCCCTGTCAATTCAAGATGAGTCACATATGCAATAAAATTAAACGTCAATTTAATTTTGAGAAACATCTCCATCGATTTTAAAGCCTGGAAATTATCAGTAGTTCTAAAACGAAGTTGACAGTTGCACACGTGCGTGCGTTTTTTTGCTGAACTTTTGTAGACAACGCTCGAATGACCATGTTTGTGACGTGATTTGAGTTGAAACAAAAATCGGGGCACGATCGGAGCCATGTACAGCGCGTGGAGGGGACCTGAGTTCCTATGGGGGTCAAGTTAAGTCAGAGAGGAAGGGGGGGCTGGCTGATTTCAAGTTTGGGCATCTGCAGGCTTTTCCCTGTGCTCATAGAACAATATTCGACCGTGGATCGCAAGCTATGGGACTGCTGTACTGTCAGAAACAATGTAAATAATCACAAACTTGGCGAGTGCAAACACGGCACATCCGACGGGATGGCTCGATTCTCTTGGAGAATGCCTCCGTCGAAAAACATGGTCAAGCCTGACACACAAATCCATGCTTTGACTTACCCAACAATCGTAAAGTCTCCGCGGCGTCCATATACAGATTCAGGTAGGACATGGAAACACTGAAACATCCCAGGAACACCAAACCCCCTAGGATCACCAAGGAGGGCGGCATTTTCCATGAATATTCGCTAAAACAGCCTCTCTCACTCACATCGATTCTGGCACTATTGACATATTGCACCCACGAACTGTTTTTGCTATTCTCGGCAAACGTCGGTAGTTTCCGTGAGGTCGCGCACCGACCCGGAAATAGCCGACATCTGTCATGTTTGCGCTAAAACATGTGCGTACTGTAGCTATCAACACTCAGGGTATCATAATCTCATTTACTAACTGCTTTTATCTTATCCAAACAAATAATTACTATTTTGAACAAAGTAAATCGAAATTCGGCGATTCGCTTCAAATACTACTTCCCTCGTGTCTCACTACATATGGTGGCTCGTCTTTGTTGGCATTGCAAAAATACCCATCGTTTCGAATGTAAGGTTCGCGAGCGTACATAATCACGAATTTATTAATAGATCACCAAATACTCATTTTGATATATGACCAGAATAAAGTATTGGTATTCAAATATCGTATTTGTAAAAGTAAGTAATTAAACAGTGAAAGGTATGAGCAATAAAAAAATATTCATCTTTAGGTAATGTGCCACTTTGTTATATTGACATATATTTTGGACATGTCAGTTGGGCTAGCCAGATATGAGTTCATCAAGCCAATTTCAGATGGGTGCAGCTAGTTATTTTTTCCTCCCACAAGACGGATGTAACAAAATATTTCACGTTTTGACAAAGTAAATATCAAATAGTTTGTGACTCTTGAATAGCAGGAGAGAATATTGTTTTAAGACATTATTAATATTTTTTCAAATAAGTGTGTTCTGTTTACGGTAGAAGAGGAAGGATGATATATTATAGTTCATTGTGTGATACTAAATCTCCTTAATGAGAAACGTCCCAATAATCAAACTAGTTCCAATCAGAATTCATTGAAGGTTTTAACTACATTTGGCAACAGACCTACACATCATTCATTGCGTGGGGGAACTGAGATCTAATGCCGATTTTAATTTCAGGTTTATCATAGCGTGTTATTAATACAAATATATATTGTATAATTTGAGACCTGTGAAGATCCGGTTATAATTGGTCTTCATTAACCCTTGCTTGTTGTAAGAGGCGAGTAACTGGATCAGACTGGCTGACTTGGTTGACACATGTCATCGGTTCCCAATTGTGTAGATCGGTGCTCATGCTGCTGATCACTGGATTGTCTGATCAAGACCGCCGCCATGTAGCTGGAATATTGCTGTGTGCGGCGTTAAACAACAAACTAAACAACCTATTGTATAAGTTGACAGTAAGTCTTTCTAAACACTGCAGGCACTTATATGTACATTGTGTACTACTACTTTGTGTCGTGAATGGTCAGTATCAGGTAAACCTATAAATGGAGAAATCCTGGTTTCTTTATCCTCGATTAACCATCGTATTGCATCTCCATTCCATATCATAACATGTATAATACACTGGATAAACGAGGGCGTGTTTTCTTGGATTACTGAGTGAAGATTTTGGTTGTTAGAAAACCTCGGAACTGACCGATCAGCTTCGTTAGATGTGTAGAGGCTGTCTGGCACGGGCGGATCGTGATAGCCGCGGATCCGTGAACACACACACGTGCATCTCATAAACACCAGGCCGACTGCCCAGTGCCGCGATATAACCGACCTCTTTCATCACACACCCAGTATTTCACATGCCTATTAATGCACACACACGCACACAAAAATGAAAAACGTGCTGATAAAAATGCAGTGTCTGAGGCCAGTGACCTCCTTCCAGAGAGTCCCCTGCTGGAGTGGACACAGCAGTGATTATACAAGGTAAGGTGCGGCACGTATGTGGAAGCACACATACCTGGGGGGTGTCCTCCTTGAGGACAAGCGGGAGGTGGTGTGTGGAGGAAGTGAAGGGGTAGTCGTGTGTCGTGCGTTGTGGCTGGCGCTGAACGCGTGGACAAGTTCTTCACGTCAAAGTTTATCCTCATTATGTATTTACCTATTTATTATATTCATAAGGGTGAAATATTGTAAATATTGGTGAAAATAAAAATGGTATTTTCACTGAGTAGAATAACATGTTATTTCACTGAGTAGAATATCACTTTTGCCTGGAACTACTTTCTGATTTCTGCAGACTTACTCGATGTCTCGATCATTAATAAACAATGATCAAAATATAATATATAAAATATTTTGTTAATGTTGTCAAATAACATGTATATTTGATCTCGTGGTCCGACAAAGTTGATATGTTCACGAGTGGCGCAAAAATATCCTCTATTTATTTATCATCCAAAACTGACTCCCACTGTAGATATCGCTTGTTTGAGATCAACAATTAAATTGTCATAATGTCCTTACATCGTCAGTTAAGAACCTCACAATGTTTTGACATCACTAAGAACACAGATGACAATGCTATGACATCATAAAGTTGATGACGTCACAATGCTATGACCTCACTGGATCACTGATCAAGAAGCCTAATGGCAGTTATGTGTTCAGATAAATTCACTCTTTTACTGATAACTGATGAAGAATGATTTTGTATGATAATAAAATCTCACCCTCGTGTCTTCTGATATCAAATGTGTATCAACACTCGTCACGTCAAAGTTGAGGTTTATCATTTATTTATTCATTTATTTATTTATTATTAAAATGTTTATCTCACTCACTCATTTCAGGTTTAGATGAATTTGAGCCATGTATTGTACTGTGCCTTATGATGACTCAAATGTAATTTTTGCTGGACCCTATTTAAATTTCTCATTGTAGAGAGTCGTTGTCCGTTTTTCGTGGATGCGGGGTCTGCAGTTTCAGATAGTTCCATGGGAAATACTCGCGACACGGGTTTCTTTGTTTCTTAAGTTTTATCTGACGTAATGAATATCGCATTAAGGTGATGACAAATATAATTGAAGTTTTTGCCTTTATGCTTCTGCACAGATATGAAACTTTAGTTTGTTTAGTGGTAACATGCTCTATGTGGTAAACGTGATATAGGTTTCATCTTTATTTTCGATCTATTTCACGGATAAAACCGTGAAGTGATCAAACTGTCACATTTCTTTGAAATAATCAAGTCCACATTTAGTAATAAATCTGTCACACTTTACACAATAATTACGCAAGCGTTGCTTACCAATTCTTTTCATCGTTTTAAATCTTGACATATTGAGCATTTCAGTTTGATTGCTGGCACTTTTATGTTTGAGACAGATGAATCAACTCAGATGATATTACAGCCAAGTCTAATGGGAACGCTTTGTGGGTTCTAAGGAGAACTTGCATTCTCCCAGAGCGTCATCCTCGTGCTTGCTACATCTCGAATACGGAAATAAGACGACCATTAATAAAGTGAAATAAGATTTTCCTAATAACAAAAACAAAAATTAAAAAATGAAGGTCCATGTAAAAACGCCTTTACATTTCCTAATTAAAGTATGAAATTACATAAAAAGTATTATTGAATGCTTTTGAAAGAATCATGTTATGTGAAAGAGTGAAATAGTTTGTTTTAGCCGCCTGTGAACACTGAGAACCCGGAGTGGCAGGGTAATTGTCATGTTATTCATTTGAATTGAGATATAATTTCTTGTTGATACGTCGATGTTATATATTGTATTGCTTTATAATGTGGGGCAGATGAGATACCACTGCAATTATATAAACAAGAAAGTAAGATTGTTTATGGATAACAACTTCTTTTATTATATATGATGCGACGTTTCGGTATGGATTCTTATACCGTTGTCAAGCAAGAGTGAAGTATTACAGCACAGAACAGACTTATATACATGAACAGGGATTAAGTAATAACAACATGTAGGTAGGAATCAAGGGGATTAACAACAACAACAAGGCACGGTGGTAATAATGTAGTGACAATAGGAGGAAGCCAATGGTCCTAGAGGCAGAAACAAAATATACATGGCTGATGAGATTAATTAGCAATGATAGCTGGAGTGCTCTAACCTGTTGTTTTTATCAGTTCATTGTATACAGAAGGGATGAGATATCCCTGGTCTCTGTTGATTGAGGGCTTGTGTCTCCGGATTTGAACTGCTTCTGCAAGTTTTCTTTTGGTGAAGTCCTGGTGGTTTTTCGATAATATTTCTACATTGTCCCAAATTATGTTGTGATTGGGACAGTTGATGATGTGGTCTGATAGTGCTGATTTTCTGTCAGATTTAGTGGTAGATGATAAGTGTTCTTTGATTCTGATATTTATGGGCTGGGAGGTTTCGCCTACATAGGCCTCGCCATAGTCACCGTTGATTTTATAGACAACACCTTTGGGTTGATGTTGTCGTTAGAGGTGTTCCTGCCATTAGCTTTCAGTAAGGTTTTCAGTGGTGTAGAGCTGGGAAAGTAGGTTTCGATGCCTGCTTGTCGCTTCAGGAGACGGCTGATGTGGTGGGAGGTCTTCCCTATGAAGGGGAGGGAGATACGAATAGGTGCTGGTTCAGGTTTGTTGGAGGCCGGTTTTCTTGTTGGGTGGAGTGAGGAGCTGACAATTTCATCGACTAGCTTTGACGGGTAGTGGTTGAACTTGGTGAAAACATGGCGGAGGTGCTGTATTTCTGTAGTGGGACTGGTGGAGGAGAGGTTGATGGCTCGTCTGGTGAGGGTGGAGATAATGCCAGTTTTGGTTCTCGAGGCCTATGTAGGCGAAACCTCCCAGCCCATAAATATCAGAATCAAAGAACACTTATCATCTACCACTAAATCTGACAGAAAATCAGCACCATCAGACCACATCATCAACTGTCCCAATCAGAACATAATTTGGGACAATGTAGAAATATTATCGAAAAACCACCAGGACTTCACCAAAAGAAAACTTGCAGAAGCAGTTCAAATCCGGAGACACAAGCCCTCAATCAACAGAGACCAGGGATATCTCATCCCTTCTGTATACAATGAACTGATAAAAACAACAGATAAGAGCACTCCAGCTATCATTGCTAATTAATCTCATCAGCCATGTATATTTTGATTCTGCCTCTAGGACCATTGGCTTCCTCCTATTGTCACTACATTATTACCACCGTGCCTTGTTGTTGTTGTTAATCCCCTTGATTCATTCCTACATGTTGTTATTACTTAATCCCTGTTCATGTATATAAGTCTGTTCTGTGCTGTAATACTTCACTCTTGCTTGACAACGGTATAAGAATCCATACCGAAACGTCGCATCATATATAATAAAAGAATTTGTTATCCATAAACAATCTTACTTTCTTATTAGTCACCAACTTCTAAACGCCAATCAAACAGATCAATTATATAAACATAATTTATGCATGATTTTAATAATTTCCCCCGATGAGAGTAATAACACACATGCAGGATATACAACATAGGTTTCAGTATGTGTACAAATACCATTCTCCTTACTATAGTTCATTTTTTTAAAATCATATCTTTATTGCCAATACGTTTCAACATGTTAAATATAATTATGTTCCATGCAATAAAACATTATATTGTTACTATCAAATACTCAAATAGTATTTGATAACACGTATATAAAATAATCAATTTTACCTATATACTATTACCTATGTATGACTGTAATTAACATCAAACGTTTTCCGTTTAATTATACATATCACCTTCATTCGGTCCAATAAGAAAGAGGTGAAGATTTATGTACGTATATTTTTTATCACAAGTTTTCATCTTTTGATCTCAAATTACATGAACCAGAGTTTCTGAGTATCTTAATGAACATCGCCTTACATAATCAGAACTTCCTGATACACATTGTAGATACGCTAGAGATGTATCATCGTTAGAATACAGACTAAAGCCATATGTTGTTGATTTCAGCTTATATACACACGAACGACAAGTGCACTCTGTCTGAGCGGAAAATTAATAGATCGCAGAAGCGTATGCTTCTATTTTTTTCCAAAACAGATTTGTGAAGACATAATCGAAGAAAAATGTTTCCGTCCGTTATGGTACTGAAATTGCAAAAAGAGTGTTGATAGATGAATAAGAAAAGGTAGAAACACATTAAAGTGCTAGTGGCACCGCTCACTGTTCTCTTCACTGCTCACCAGCTGGGCCGGGACGACAGATTTGCACGAGACGCGCGTTCATGTGTATTGCACGCACCTGTATTTCGTGATTGACGTAACAGAACAGGCCTATATTTCACATCTGGGGGAAACAGACAATTCATCATTATCCCACCATCCCGCCATCATTGGCCTGTTAGTAGAAACAGTCTACTGGGATAAGAGTATTATCAGCGGTAAAAACAGAGAAGCCTCCAGACCTGTGAAGTAGGTTAACCATCTAAACTGGGGAAATATGTAGGTTTACTGTAGCCTTGTCATCGTGGTTACCGTTACCTTTGAATACTTGGCTTCCATGGTAGACATCATCCACGACTTGTGCCATAGACTTAAATAATGTAATACCATGTATATTTCTTGAGCAGACATGCTTACCATGTTAGATGAAGTCATCAAATGTTTTTTTGCGGATATTTTCAATCAGTTATCATTTCGACATATTACATGATTCATTACATGAGTCATTAAGGTGTCCGTTTAATCACATCCGGTCTTTAATTAAATACAGTTGTAATTGGTATATTCTGTTGTTACATTATGTACAATAATTTGGAGAGAGAGATCTATTAAAAGCAAAGTAAACAACTTTATTCCGATGAGTGTTTTAAGAGGACAACCTATCCAACCTATACACATTTTTACGAAACCAATCTGTCCACAGTTTCCGTACTTTACAGGAACATCTTCACAATAACTGTTTGTTCTGACAGAGATTAATGAAATTTTGAAACTGAAAATATAATTTGAAGTAACTCAGTTTTTACAAGTACCATATTTGAACACATCTTGTATTGATGAGCCCGCAGTTACGCCCATATATTTACCATTTAGGATAACTCCCCTTTCGGTGTTTCCTATAGGCCAAACTTCTATGTTACTATATTATTATATATTTTGGACTGACGGGGCTTCACTTTGAGGCCGGCTTGTATTTGAGATCGGCATCGGATGGGAGAAATACGGCATACAGTATATATTCCGCAGGTCCAGAGTTTAAGCATGTATTCTATTCCTCATTAGAAAAAGCTACACAGAAGTCAAGATCTAGATCAGAAACTTTGCTTTCGGAGACTTTTAATCCAACAAATATTTCTTTGAAATTTAGGGCCTATTTTCACAGCAAATTTACAGCAGATAAATTACACTTGAAGACACACATGTATCGTTTGAAAATAATGACTGCATTATTTAATAATTTGAAATGTACAAAATATATTTTGTGTGTCATATATTACTCTTATGATTTTAGGAATTCATAAAAGTATTCGCAATCATTCAAACATTCTTTATAATCATAGAATAGCATTCCAACAGAGAGGAATAGTCTGTCTTCCGGACTCTAGCGAATGCATTAGATAGGACTCACAACACAAGACTATATAATGATTTGGCTAATGTAGAAGGCCCCAGCTCTGAAAATGAAAAAAAAAACACCTGAAAATTAAGAATTGTTTTGGGCGTTATTTGTGGGGGTTTTATTTAATAGATATATATTGTTTGAATAAGATCATTTTATGTCTGAGTCTAAATGAGGAATTACGGAGGATGTCCCGCGAGAGAATTAATGATGTAAGCTCCGAGCTGTCAACATTGGAATGGCGTAGATTGTAAATATGACATTGCTGTCTTTAATTAACACATTACAGCCGAGTTGAAATGATAGCTAATAATTAGGACATAAGCATAGTGTGTTGATTCCAGTGTTTATGTCGGTTTGTTGATAACGGAATCACCGCCAACAGCCTTTAAACCAAATATGGTCAAGTATTATTTTTTACACTGTAAAACTTCGAAATTCACTAACATATCCCAGGCCTGTAAGTAATGTAGTACAGCAAGGTAACATCAAGTTGGTACTCGCAAGAAAACTAGGCACGTCTTGCGAGGTTTGGTTCTTCAACCCACGTCACCATCACGAAGTCGTACAGCTCCATATATAACCCAAATATTATTTCACTGCCATCATGTAACCCTTATAAAATAGAAACTCAACAATGAAAGAACTACTATTCTATGATATTTGATTGCGCAGAGATGCAGCGGTCAAATTTCCTGAATTCAGCAGAGAAGATTTACATGTACATGTAGTTTACCTCTGTTTAATCAATCACAATCAAGTAAAGTTTATGTCCATAGTGGATTATCAATAAACCACTAACCACTAATATCACTAGAAATACGATGACGCGATATTGGGCTTATTGTATTATTAACAGTTTACTGTAAAGTGGGTGTTAACTGTCAGTACTCGCCATGCCATGACGTGTTCAAAGCGACCTTCCGAGGGCATGACACCTTAGTTACACTTCCGGTATCGTCGCGGGTACCAGCCTGCGCCAACGAGGGGTATATGTGTCACGACTTGCGACTTTGAATACTCTAACCTGATGTATTTTACATTTGCTTATTTTCTTCGAGGGTTTGCTGTTATGACTGAACAATCAACATTTGATTTTCGGAAAAGACCCAAGTTGTCATGACGTCATTTGTAAGTCTGTGACGTCTAATGGCATTATTTAGTGACGTCACAACACAAGCTCCGCACAGCGATAGTTGTGACCTTTGCTCTCCCTGCAACAGCTCCACACTGTTACATGCGGCCATTGTGAGTGAGTGTACATGAAATAGGACTGATTCTATGGAGTAGATCTAATGTTTTCTTCAGAAGGGGAAAGTGGCATTAAATATCATTCTCTTGACAACTTTCTTTCTCAAAACAGCTCATGTAGACAGTGACAAAATCCAACGGAAAAAATACTTCAGTATCGAGTGTTCCGAACTGCTTTATAATAATAATAATAATAATCATAATAATAATCATAATAAATGCATATTTATAATGCGCCCCCTTCCACACCCTAAGGCATGCTCAAAGCGCTACAGAATATTTACACTGGAGTATTTACAGATGAAGTTATACATAATATACTGAGAAAAGGTGGGTTTTAAGTCTGGACTTAAAAATGTCAATTGTGACTTTGACTAAAATGTTTGGATCCATACATACATCTGAGGGGAAGCAACATTTTCCTTGACACTTTTAATATGAATATACTTATTGTGCTCTTCTAGTTGAAATGTTGTTTAATAAATTCCAGAATGTCTTTACAAGTCATTTTCATTCAAGGAAATTTACATGATAATTTAAAGATCTAAGAAACAAAAAATCCGTATAGAGATTAAAGAACCCTTTTTTCCCTTGGTTTCATGTAAATGTCACAGTTACACACTGCATGTTTTATATTATGCATTTATCTTTTCCCTTTCAGAATTATAACAATAAGTTCACCAGAGAACGATAAAATGATATAGAAATAGAACTAGTCTTGAAGATAACAGTTTTCCTTGAGAGGAGAAAATGGCTGCCCTGTGAGCGTGTGGAACATCAACAAGAAGTAATACCACGAAGTTTCTGTCTCTTATGTGGGGACGTTTTAATCTCTTGGGAACAGGTATGAATGATTTCTAGATTGAAACATTTGGACAGTTTTAATACCACGTATATTTATGTATTTGTACCATACACACCCAGTGTTTCGTGTTCAGAATTCCTTTCCAAGTCCTTCGGATTTCGCGCATACACACATCTTGCCACGAAATTACCCGGTGATCTTGCCAAGTGTGTACATACACATTTTGGTATGTCTGCTCATGGTATGAGCAGAAAAGTGTTCTGTATACACTATTTCGACTGCTGGTAGTTAACGTTTGGAACACCTAGTTAGAATTAGGCTACATCCAAATGTAAATCGCACCATTTACAGAACCATGTATGTATCTCTGTCAGGATTAAATAAATCAGGTTGTTTATCATACCATATGTAGTGGAAGATAAAGTAAACAGGCATATTTGTCATAAGTTGAATCACTCATTAACTTTTGTATTTGACTATTTGGAAAACCCACAAATAAGTTGCATTGACAATGACGTTGAATCTGTGCATTATACATTCAAGTTGTTACCATCAGTACATCACAAATTATTTCTGTCATGTCAGAAGTGTTCATGAATTATGTGTAGTCAAAGTATCAATAAAACCCATTCATTCAATCTGAATCTTTTCCATCTTATACATAATTATTGTATTGGGAGTTTGAATCGTGTTAAATAATTGTAATGCATAAAAAATCCTGTGTAGAATCTATGTCATAAACACTCAATGATTCTGAAACCATGACACTAAGTTAGTTCAATTGTTTTGCTTTTTTATTATATTTTTTCATTTTCTTGATTGGATCAGGATAAAATGGGGCCTGCGATGACACATTTTAATCAAAAAATGTCTTAGAGGAGCAGCTTCATTATTAAACAGTTGAAGATAAGAATCAAGGATTTTCTTTTGCAGAGCATATTTAGTAACCATGACAACAGCTGCCAGACCTACATGGGATACGGCCCGTGGTGGACGGGGTAAAGGTGAAGGTGACCTGAGTGCTTTGTCTAAGCAGTACTCTAGTCGAGATTTACCATCTCACACCAAGCTTAAGTACAGGTGAGTGAAAGAAACACCAGTACATCTCTGTTAAACAGATTATCTTCTTGTTTGACCTGCTTTTATCAAATTGAATTCCTATTGAACCACTGAAATGTTGAATGTTGAAATTGAATATATTTCCGAGAATATAATGGATGGAATTGATGAAACGTGTTATGTTTGTGGACTGAGAGATATGATGTTGCCGTAGCTGTCATAGAATATTTCAGGCATATTTTCAGTTTTCAAGGTGCAATATCAATATTTATTCAGGGCTCAGTTTGACTACATTTTGTATATAGAACATGCGCAGTTTGCAGCAACACTGTAGAACGATCTACCATCTACCCTGAGAAACTCAACATCATATGACATATTTAAGAAGGGCATAAAAACCCTTTTATTTAACATGTTTAATCAGCCTACACTCAGTAGCAATTGTGACTTCTTTCTGTAAAGTGCCTTAGAGTGTTTTAGTTTCTAAATCATATAGGGTGCTACACAAAGTTTGTGTATTATATCATTATTATTATTATTACAATTTCAACCTATTGTGAAAAATGCAACTTATATTAACGCCAACGTGCCCCCACTGCATGTAAAGTGAAAACTTAAGCATGTGTATGACTAAGCCTTACTCGTCCACTAAAATACAGTATTGAACAAACTCAGTATATTATTCTTACTTAGGCCATACTTCATCAGTAATCCCCGCTCTCTTAGTCTTACTTAGGGTTACTTTTTAATTTATCATGCTCTCTTAGTCTTACTTAGGCTTGACATCATCGGGGTGCTTCAAGGTTATCATGGCTATATGCACATGATGTTCCATATGTTTTACAGCAATGTGTCATTTATTTAAATGACACTGGCAGCATGCACTTGTATAACACTGTTTCAACACTGATAAATGTATGGGATGAGGCTTGTGCATCTGGTTTTCATATCACCAAGCACCTTATGCATGTTACTTCCTTTACTTTGAGCTCTGTTAAGGGCAGTGGTGGTACATAGTCTAATTATGTCAAAACCTAGAGTGTGCAAAAACCTTAAAGTGTTTGTTTATTGAGCAGATTTTACAATCCAAATTTTACACATAACAATGTGCCAAAAACTTTTGTATAAATTCACAATATGAAACAGAAATATTACTTGGGAAGAGGTCACAGTTACACTAAACTTATAGTACTACATGTTATAGATGTCAATCAGGCAAATGTGCTCTTACGTACAAACTGTTTTTTATTTTTGTTCCATTTTTCTGTTTTCCAGACAAGAAGGTCAAGGAACTACAGAGGAAACAAGCAGGCGTGACTTCCGCCGTGAACTCGATGACAGAGAGCGATCTGCCCGGGAAAAGAGAGACAGGAACAGGGGTAAGTCAAGCATCACATTGACAGGCCAGGTGACAGACTCACAATGCTGTCTTAGTGCTAAGATTGTTGTAAAGTCGATGTACCTAAATAGACTTTGTCTGAGTCTTTTCTTGAAGCTGTTCATGAATCGTGGTATTCCAAGTTTTCAAACAAACTTAAAACATAGGGTGACCTGTCATTGAAGCATCTGACAAGGGTCAGACATGATGCTAAACTATTGGTCAGTACTGGTATGTTGGCAATGAGAGTATGGTCCTACTGGAGTACTGGTATGTTGGCAGTGAGAGTATGGTCCTACTGGAGTACTGGTATGTTGGCAGTGAGAGTATGGTCCTACTGAGTACTGGTATGTTGGCAGTGAGAGTATGGTCCTACTGGAGTACTGGTATGTTGGCAGTGAGAGTATGGTCCTACTGGAGTACTGGTATGTTGGCAGTGAGAGTATGGTCCTACTGGAGTACTGGTATGTTGGTAGTGAGAGTATGGTCCCACTGGAGTACTGGTATGTTGGCAGTGAGAGTATGGTCCTACTGGAGTACTGGTATGTTGGCAGTGAGAGTATGGTCCTACTGGAGTACTGGTATGTTGGCAGTGAGAGTATGGTCCTACTGGAGTACTGGTATGTTGGCAGTGAGAGTATGGTCCTACTGGAGTACTGGTATGTTGGCAGTGAGAGTATGGTCCCACTGGAGTACTGGTATGTTGGTAGTGAGAGTATGGTCCTACTGGAGTACTGGTATGTTGGTAGTGAGAGTATGGTCCCACTGGAGTACTGGTATGTTGGCAGTGAGAGTATGGTCCTACTGGAGTACTGGTATGTTGGCAGTGAGAGCATGGTCCTACTGGAGTAACTGGTATGTTGGCAGTGAGAGTATGGTCCTACTGGAGTACTGGTATGTTGGTAGTGAGAGTATGGTCCCACTGGAGTACTAGAATGTTGACAGTGAGAGTATAGTCCTTCTGTTGGTATGTTGGCAGTGAGAGTATAGTCCTTCTGGAGTACTGGGGCGCATGTTGGCAGTGAGAGCATGGTCCTACTGGAGCAATTGGTATGTTGGCAGTGAGAGTATGGTCCTACTGGAGTACTTGGTATGTTGACAGTGAGAGTATGGTCCTACTGGAGTACTGGTATGTTGACAGTGAGAGTATGGTCCTACTGAGTACTGGTATGTTGGTAGTGAGAGTATGGTCCTACTGGAGTACTGGTATGTTGGCAGTGAGAGCATAGTCCTTCTGAGTAAACTGGTATGTTGGCAGTGAGAGTATGGTCCTACTGGAGTACTGGTATGTTGACAGTGAGAGTATGGTCCTACTGGAGTACTGGTATGTTGACAGTGAGAGTATGGTCCTACTGGAGTACTGGTATGTTGGCAGTGAGAGTATGGTCCCACTGGAGTACTGGTATGTTGGCAGTGAGAGTATGGTCCTACTGGAGTATTGCTGGTATGTTGGTAGTGAGAGTATGGTCCTACTGGAGTACTGGTATGTTGGCAGTGAGAGTATGGTCCTACTGGAGTACTGGTATGTTGGTAGTGAGAGTATGGTCCCACTGGAGTACTGGTATGTTGGCAGTGAGAGTATGGTCCTACTGGAGTACTGGTATGTTGGTAGTGAGAGTATGGTCCCACTGGAGTACTGGTATGTTGGTAGTGAGAGTATGGTTCTACCTGGAGCAACTGGTATGTTGGCAGTGAGAGTATGGTCCTACTGGAGTACTGGTATGTTGGTAGTGAGAGTATGGTCCCACTGGAGTACTGGTATGTTGGCAGTGAGAGTATGGTCCTACTGGAGTACTGGTATGTTGGCAGTGAGAGTATGGTCCTACTGGAGTACTGGTATGTTGGCAGTGAGAGTATGGTCCTACTGGAGTACTGGTATGTTGGCAGTGAGAGTATGGTCCTACTGAGTACTGGTATGTTGGCAGTGAGAGTATGGTCCCACTGGAGTACTGGTATGTTGGCAGTGAGAGTATGGTCCTACTGGAGTACTGGTATGTTGGTAGTGAGAGTATGGTCCTACTGGAGTACTGGTATGTTGGCAGTGAGAGTATGGTCCCACTGGAGTACTGGTATGTTGGCAGTGAGAGTATGGTCCTACTGGAGTACTGGTATGTTGGCAGTGAGAGTATGGTCCCACTGGAGTACTGGTATGTTGGCAGTGAGAGTATGGTCCTACTGGAGTACTGGTATGTTGGCAGTGAGAGTATGGTCCTACTGAGTACTGGTATGTTGGTAAAGGAGAGTATGGTCCTACTGGAGTACTGGTATGTTGGCAGTGAGAGTATGGTCCCACTGGAGTACTGGTATGTTGGCAGTGAGAGTATGGTCCTACTGGAGTACTGGTATGTTGGCAGTGAGAGTATGGTCCCACTGGAGTACTGGTATGTTGGCAGTGAGAGTATGGTCCTACTGGAGTACTGGTATGTTGGTAGTGAGAGTATGGTCCCACTGGAGTACTGGTATGTTGGCAGTGAGAGTATGGTCCCTACTGGAGTACTGGTATGTTGGTAGTGAGGAGCATGGTCCCACTGGAGCAATTGGTATGTTGGCAGGAGAGCATGGTCCTACTGGAGCAAATTGGCATGTTGGCAGTGAGAGTATGGTCCTACTGAGTACTCGAATGTTGGCAGTGAGAGTATGGTCCTTACTGAGTACTGAACGTTGGCAGTGAGAGCATGGTCCTTACTGGAGCAATTGGTATGCTGGCAGTGAGAGTATGGTCCCACCTGGAGCAATTCGGTATGTTGGCAGTGAGAGCATGGTCCTACTGGAGTAACTGGTATGTTGACAGTGAGAGTATGGTCCCACTGGAGTACTGGTATGTTGGTAGTGAGAGTATGGTCCCACTGAGTACCTCGCTGGTACATGTTGGCAGTGAGAGTATGGTCCTACTGAGTACTGGCATGTTGGCAGTGAGAGTATGGTCCTACTGAGCACTGGTATGTTGTCAGTGAAAGCATGGTCCCACTGAGCACTGGCATGCTTGGCAGTGAGAGCATGGTCCCACTGGAGTACTGGTATGTTGGCAGTGAGAGCATGGTCGCACTGGTATGTTGGTAGTGAGAGCATGGTCCTACTGGAGTAATTGGCATGTTGGCAGTGAGAGCATGGTCCCACTGAGTACTGGCATGTTGGTAGTGAGAGCATGGTCCCACTCGAGCACTGGTATGTTTGCAGTGAGAGCATGGTCCTACTTGAGCAGCACTGGCATGTTGGCAGTGAGAGTATGGTCCTACTGAGTACTGGCATGTTGGCAGTGAGAGCATGGTCCTACTGGAGTACTGGTATGTTGGCAGTGAGAGTATGGTCCTACTGGAGCACTGGTATGTTGGTAGCGAGAGTATGGTCCCACTGGAGTAATTGGTATGTTGGCAGGAGAGCATGGTCCTACTGAGTACTGGCATGTTGGTAGTGAGGAGTATGGTCCCACTGAGCATACTGGTATGTTGTCAGTGAGAGCATGGTCCTACTGGAGTACTGGCATGTTGGCAGTGAGAGCATGGTCCTACTGGAGTACTGGTATGTTGGTAGTGAGAGTATGGTCCTACTGAGTACTGGTATGTTGGTAGTGAGAGTATGGTCCTACTGGAGTACTGGTATGTTGGCAGTGAGAGTATGGTCCCACTGGAGTAATTGGTATGTTGGCAGTGAGAGTATGGTCCTACTGAGTACTGGTATGTTGGCAGTGAGAGTATGGTCCTACTGGAGTACTGGTATGTTGGCAGTGAGAGTATGGTCCCACTATACTGGCATGTTGGCAGTGAGAGTATGGTCCCACTGGAGTACTGGTATGTTGGCAGTGAGAGTATGGTCCTACTGGAGTACTGGTATGTTGGCAGTGAGAGTATGGTCCTACTGGAGTACTGGTATGTTGGCAGTGAGAGTATGGTCCTACTGGAGTACTGGTATGTTGGCAGTGAGAGTATGGTCCTACTGGAGTACTGGTATGTTGGCAGTGAGAGTATGGTCCTACTGGAGTACTGGTATGTTGGCAGTGAGAGTATGGTCCTACTGGAGTACTGGTATGTTGGCAGTGAGAGTATGGTCCTACTGGAGTACTGGTATGTTGGCAGTGAGAGTATGGTCCTACTGAGGTACTGGTATGTTGGTAGTGAGTATGGTCCTACTGGAGTACTGGTATGTTGGCAGTGAGAGTATGGTCCTACTGGAGTACTGGTATGTTGGTAGTGAGAGTATGGTCCTACTGGTATGTTGGTAGTGAGGTATGGTCCTACTGGCTAGTATGTTGGAGAGTATGGTCCTACTGGAGTACTGGTATGTTGGTAGTGAGAGTATGGTCCTACTGGAGTACTGGTATGATGGTAGTGAGAGTATGGTCCTACTGGAGTACTGGTATGTTGGTAGTGAGTATGGTCCTACTGGAGTACTGGTATGTTGGCAGTGAGAGTATGGTCCTACTGGAGTACTGGTATGTTGGTAGTGAGAGTATGGTCCTACTGGAGTACTGGTATGTTGGTAGTGAGTATGGTCCTACTGGAGTACTGGTATGTTGGCAGTGAGAGTATGGTCCTACTGGAGTAATTGGTATGTTGGTAGTGAGAGTATGGTCCCACTGGAGTACTGGTATGTTGGCAGTGAGAGTATGGTCCTACTGGAGTACTGGTATGTTGTCAGTGAAAGTATGGTCCTACTGGAGTACTGGTATGTTGGTAGTGAGAGTATGGTCCTACTGGAGTACTGGAATGTTGGTAGTGAGGAGTATGGTCCCACTGGAGTACTGGTATGTTGTCAGTGAAAGTATGGTCCTACTGGAGTACTGGTATGTTGGTAGTGAGAGTGTGGTCCTACTGGAGTACTGGTATGTTGGCAGTGAGGTATGGTCCTACTGGAGTACTGGTATGTTGGTGGTAGAGAGTATGGTCCTACTGGAGTACTGGTATGTTGTCAGTGAGAGTATTGTCCTACTGGAGTACTGGAATGTTGGCAGTGAGAGCATGGTCCCTACTGGAGTACTGGTATGTTGGCAGTGAGAGTATGGTCCTACTGGAGTACTGGAATGTTGGTAGTGAGAGTATGGTCCCACTGGAGTACTGGTATGTTGGTAGTGAGAGTATGGTCCTACTGGAGTACTGGTATGTTGTCAGTGAGAGTATGGTCCTACTGAGTACTGGTATGTTGGCAGTGAGTATGGTCCCACTGGAGTACTGGTATGTTGGTAGTGAGAGGATGGTCCCACTGAGTACTTGGTATGTTGGCAGTGAGAGTATGGTCCTACTGGAGTACTGGTATGTTGGTAGTGAGAGTATGGTCCTACTGGAGTACTTGGTATGTTGTCAGTGAGAGTATGGTCCTACTGAGTACTGGAATGTTGGCAGTGAGAGTATGGTCCTACTGAGTACTGGTATGTTGGCAGTGAGAGCATGGTCCTACTGGAGTACTGGTATGTTGTCAGTAAGAGTATGGTCCCACTGGAGTACTGGAATGTTGGCAGTGAGAGTATGGTCCTACTGGAGTACTGGCATGTTGGTAGTGAGAGTATGGTCCTACTGGAGTACTGGTATGTTGTCAGTGAGAGCATGGTCCTACTGGAGTACTGGTATGTTGTCAGTGAGAGTATGGTCCTACTGGAGTACTGGAATGTTGGCAGTGAGAGTATGGTCCTACTGGAGTACTGGTATGTTGGTAGTGAAAGTATGGTCCTACTGAGTACCTCTGGTATGTTGGTAGTGAGAGTATGGTCCTACTGGAGTACTGGTATGTTGTCAGTGAGAGTATGGTCCCTACTGGAGTACTGGTATGTTGTCAGTGAGAGTATGGTCCTACTGGAGTACTGGAATGTTGGCAGTGAGAGCATGGTCCTTCTGGAGTACTGGTATGTTGTCAGTGAGAGCATGGTCCTACTGGAGTACTGGAATGTTGGCAGTGAGAGTATGTTGGTCCTACTGAGGAATTGGTATGTTGGCAGTGAGTGCATGGTCCTACTGGAGTACTGGTATGTTGGCAGTAAGAGTATGGTCCTACTGAGTACTGGAATGTTGGCAGTGAGAGTATGGTCCTACTGGAGTACTGGTATGTTGGCAGTGAGAGTATGGTCCTACTGGAGTACTGGTATGTTGGCAGTGAGAGTATGGTCCCTACTGAGTACTGGTATGTTGTCAGTAAGAGTATGGTCCCACTGGAGTACTGGAATGTTGGCAGTGAGAGTATGGTCCCACTGGAGTACTGGTATGTTGGCAGTGAGAGCATGGTCCTACTGGAGTACTGGTATGTTGGCAGTGAGAGTATGGTCCTACTTGAGTACTGGCATGTTGTCAGTAAGAGTAGTATGGTCCCCACTGGAGTACTGGTATGTTGTCAGTAAGAGTATGGTCCTACTGAGTACTGGTATGTTGGTAGTGAGAGTATGGTCCCACTGGAGTACTGGTATGTTGTCAGTAAGAGTATGGTCCCACTTGAGTACTGGTATGTTGGCAGTGAGAGTATGGTCCTACTGGAGTACTGGTATGTTGGTAGTGAGAGTATGGTCCTACTGGAGTAACTGGCATGTTGTCAGTAAGAGTATGGTCCCACTGGAGCACTGGTATGTTGTCAGTAAGAGTATGGTCCCACTGGAGTACTGGTATGTTGGTAGTGAGAGCATGGTCCCACTGAGTACTGGTATGTTGGCAGTGAGAGTATGGTCCTACTGGAGTACTGGTATGTTGGTAGTGAGAGTATGGTCCTACTGGAGTACTGGTATGTTGTCAGTAAGAGTATGGTCCTACTGGAGTACTGGTATGTTGGTAGTGAGAGCATGGTCCTACTGGAGTACTGGTATGTTGTCAGTAAAAGCATGGTCCCACTGAGTACTGGCATGTTGTCAGTAAGAGTATGGTCCTACTGGAGTACTGGTATAAGTTGTTGGTAGTGAGAGTATGGTCCTACTGAGTACTGGTATGTTGTCAGTAAGAGTATGGTCCCACTGGAGTACTGGTATGTTGTCAGTAAGAGCATGGTCCCACTGGAGCAACTGGTATGTTGGTAGTGAGAGTATGGTCCTACTGAGTACTGGTATGTTGTCAGTAAGAGTATGGTCCCACTGGAGTACTGGTATGTTGTCAGTAAGAGTATGGTCCTACTGGAGTACTGGTATGTTGGTAGTGAGAGTATGGTCCCACTGGAGTACTGGTATGTTGTCAGTAAGAGTATGGTCCCACTTGAGTACTGGTATGTTGGCAGTGAGAGTATGGTCCTACTGGAGTACTGGTATGTTGGTAGTGAGAGTATGGTCCTACTCTGGAGTACTGGTATGTTGTCAGTAAGAGTATGGTCCCACTGAGTACTGGTATGTTGGCAGTGAGAGTATGGTCCTACTGGAGTACTGGTATGTTGGTAGTGAGAGTATGGTCCTACTGGAGTACTGGTATGTTGGCAGTGAGAGTATGGTCCTACTGGAGTACTGGAATGTTGGCAGTGAGAGCATGGTCCTACTGGAGTACTGGTATGTTGACAGTGAGAGTATGGTCCTACTGGAGTACTGGTATGTTGGCAGTGAGAGTATGGCCCCACTGGAGTACTGGTATGTTTGCAGTGAGAGTATGGTCCTACTGGAGTACTGGAATGTTGGCAGTGAGAGCATCGTCCTACTGGAGTAATTGGTATGTTGGCAGTGAGAGTATGGTCCTACTGGAGTACTGGTATGTTGGCAGCAACAGTATTGTTCCACTGAGTACTGGTATGTTGGCAGTGAGAGTATGGTCCTACTGAGTACCGCATGTTGGTAGTGAGAGTATGGTCCTACTTGAGTACTGGAATGTTGGTAGTGAGAGTATGGTCCCACTGAGTACTGGTATGTTGTCAGTGAAAGCATGGTCCTACTGGAGTACTGGTATGTTGGTAGTGAGAGTATGGTCCTACTTGAGTACTGGTATGTTGGCAGTGAGAGTATGGTCCTACTGAGTACTGGTATGTTGGTAGTGAGAGTATGGTCCTACTGGAGTACTGGTATGTTGTCAGTGAGAGTATGGTCCCACTGGAGTACTGGTATGTTGGCAGTGAGAGCATGGTCCTACTGGAGTACTGGTATGTTGGCAGTGAGAGTATGGTCCCACTGGAGTACTGGTATGTTGGCAGTGAGAGTATGGTCCTACTTGAGTACTGGAATGTTGGCAGTGAGAGCATGGTTCCACTGGAGTACTGGAATGTTGGCAGTGAGAGTATGGTCCTACTGGAGTACTGGTATGTTGGCAGTGAGAGTATGGTTCTACTGGAGTACTGGTATGTTGGCAGTGAGAGTATGGTCCTACTGGAGTACTGGTATGTTTGCAGTGAGAGTATGGTCCTACTGGAGTACTGGTATGTTTGCAGTGAGAGTATGGTACTGCTGGAGTACTGGTATGTTGGCAGTGAGAGTATTTGTTACATTGCAGAATCATCCAGCAGCAGCAAGCGTCCTCGTCTGGAGCAGATTCCTGCCGCCAACTTAGATGCTGACGATCCAGTGGATGATGAAGTGAGTGCTCTAGAAACTCTGCTGCTGTGTAATGATGATATTACCCTTACAGTGAGCTGTTGATATCTAAGAAAAAACTGTACTCTAATAGCTGTTATGTCTGTTGTCACATTAATGTATGTGTAAATGATTGTTATTGACCATGTATACAAGGGAGATAATTCTATGGTGAGACAGCTTCTATATTGCAAGGAATGTCCATGGAATTATCTCCCTTGTTCATACCAACTTCCAGGTTATACAACACCAAATGTTTTCCCATAGACTTCTATAGTAACCTTTTGGTTTTTTAAAAATTATAGTAACCTTTTACTTTTTAAGATTATCCAGGCTATCAACAGCCAAATTCCATGTACACACACATGGGTACAGCACTAAATACATTGTGGCCTTTAAACTACAATCCAAAAACACACATGTCTCTGTCTCTTCAGTTCCTGGCCAAATAGTATCATTTGAAGAAGCTCATTTTTATACCCAGTGCACAGGAAGCACAAAGTGGTGTTCGGGTGGGTTCCATCAGACCTGCTCTGCAAATTTTGGTCTTGTCACATTTTATGTGCATGATATGCCATTGTGTTTATGAATGAAAACATAGTAGCAAACTTACTGCAGGGCCTGTTGTAACAAATTCTGGTCAGTAGATTCACAGTATGCACAGCTTGCTGTCTGGAAGAGATTAGTGATGACTGTCACCTGTGTGTTGTAATTACGTTGTACAGCCAGCCTTGTCCCACGTTGCTTGCTAGGCCTGAATCACAACTGTTGACCACAGGTACCTGCTGATAGCTCACACATCACACCCTGACACAACTGTTCACCACAAGTACCTGCTGATAGCTGACATATCACACCCTGACACAACTGTTCACCACAAGCACCTGCTGATAGCTGACATATCACCCCCTGACACAACTGTCCACCACAAGCACCTGCTGATAGCTCACATATCACACTCTGACACAACTGTCCTCCACAAGCACCTGCTGATAGCTCACATATCACACCCTGACACAACTGTCAACCACAAGCACCTGCTGATAGCTGACATATCACACCCTGACACAACTGTTCACCACAAGTACCTGCTGATAGCTCACATATCACACCCTGACACACCTGTCCACCACAAGCACCTGCTGATAGCTCACATATCACCCCCTGACACAACTGTCCACCACAATCACCTGCTGATAGCTCACATATCACACCCTGACACAACTGTCCACCACAAGCACCTGCTGATAGCTGACATATCACACCCTGACACAACTGTTCACCACAAGTACCTGCTGATAGCTCACATATCACACCCTGACACAACTGTCCACCACAAGCACCTGCTGATAGCTCACATATCACACCCTGACACAACTGTCCACCACAAGCACCTGCTGATAGCTCACAAATCACACCCTGACACAACTGTTCACCACAAGCACCTACTGATAGCTCATACATCACACCCTGACACAACTGTTTACCACAAGTACCTGCTGATAGCTCATACATCACACCCTGACACAACTGTTCACCACAAGCACCTGCTGATGGCTGACATATCACACCCTGACACAACTGTTCACCACAAGTACCTGCTGATGGCTCACATATCACACCCTGACACAACTGTCCACCACAAGCACCTGCTAATAGCTCACATATCACACCCTGACACAACTGTTCACCACAAGTACCTGCTGATAGCTCACATATCACACCCTGACAAAACTGTTCACCACAAGTACCTGCTGATAGCTCACATATCACACCCTGACACAACTGTCCACCACAAGCACCTGCTGATGGCTGACATATCACACCCTGACACAACTGTTCATCACAAGCACCTGCTGATACCTGACATATCACACCCTGACACAACTGTCCACCACAAGCACCTGCTGATAGCTCACATATCACACTCTGACACAACTGTTCACCACAATCACCTGCTGATAGCTGACATATCACCCCCTGACACAACTGTCCACCACAAGCACCTGCTGATAGCTCACACATCACACCCTGACACAACTGTTCACCACAAGCACCTGCTGATAGCTCACATATCACACCCTGACACAACTGTCCACCACAAGTACCTGCTGATAGCTGACATATCACACCCTGACACAACTGTTCACCACAAGCACCTGCTGATAGCTGCCATATCACCCCCTGACACAACTGTCCACCACAAGCACCTGCTGATAGCTCACACATCACACCCTGAAACAACTGTTGACCACAAGCACCTGCTGATAGCTGATGCATCACACCCTGACACAACTGTTCACCATAAGCACCTGCTGATAGCTGATGCATCACACCCTGACACAACTGTCCATCGCAAGTACCTGCTGATCGCTGACATATCACACCCTGACACAACTGTTCACCGCAAGTACCTGCTGATAGCTGACGTATCACCCCTGACACAACTGTCCACCACACCCTGACAGCTCACATCACACCCTGACACAACTGTTCACCACAAGCACCTGCTGATAGCTGATGCATCACACCCTGACACAACTGTTCACCACAAGCACCTGCTGATAGCTGATGCATCACACCCTGACACAACTGTTCACCACAAGCACCTGCTGATAGCTGATGTAGTATCACACCCTGACGATCTGTGTATCTTACAATCATAGACAGAGTAGTCCTCAGAGTTCGATCAGTACAAGATAGGGAGAGGTTGTTTGTGAAGTTTCACACACAGTATGTCTTATCTCGGCAGGATGATGATGATGATTCTGATGATGAAGACGACACAGCAGAACTTCTGGCAGAATTGAACAAAATCAAGAAGGAGAGAGCAACAGAGAGGGCCAAGATGGTGAGATGTGTTTGTAAATCATTGTTGCCTGGAAGTGTAGAGAGCAGGTTTACGCGGTTATCATTTAAACCAGTTTCTGTGTTTCATAATGTTATCCACACTTCAGGTACATTCAAACACTTGACAGGGTTTTACCTAAACCTGCCCAGGCTCATATTCATCAGCATGCCAGCAGCAATTGCCAGTAAATCCTGCCAGATGGGATTTCAAAAGTTCAGAATTCATGTAAATGTTGTTGAAGCCATGTCAGTGTTTTCAATGTTGCTCATTGTTCAAACCTCAATGTGACTTGTATTCATATTGATGACAGAACCAAACAGGTGGAAGAGGCTTACTTTAACATAATTGCGTGCCATGTTGATGTACCTCTTTAAGTAATCTCTATCTTAAACAAAACATTTTTTTGCCCAGTTTGCCTGCAAAGTTACAATCCTTAAAAAATCTGTACTGGCTTGGTACTAGTATCTGTAACTACAAATAGCTGAAGTCCCTAAGTCTTCAGTCAGTTTATGAGTTGTAAAGATTTTACACTCAGAAACATGAATACAGACATTGATGAAACTTTATGTATGCAACAATAAATAGAGTTGAGTGAGTGAGTTAAGATTTTAAGTCACACCGGCAATATTTCAGCCATATCGTAATTGATTGTCAGACCAAGCAGCTGTTTTTGTATTTGTTTCTATGAAAGTAAAAACAAAAGTGTCTAGGTCACTGTTGAGCGCTATTCTTGCCTGATTTCTTGATGCTAGCCAGCATGGTAACTCTGCCACAGACAGCTGCCATGTTGTGGTTTGTCACATCTTGTCCAGTCCATTCAATATACTGTATATATTTTTATGTTTCTGAATCTGAATAAGTCCTCGTACTTAACCATGCGAGGAGAGCAAAGAAAGCTCTTTTACAACTTCACTCTGTTGTTCCTATGCTCGGTCTTGTTCCACCGACTATTTACTTCAAATTATTTGACTCTCAGATACAACCGATTTTACTGTATGGATCTGAAATGTGGGGTTTTAAAGAGTATTATACCATAGAAAAAAATTCATTTGCTTGCCTGTAAAAGTTTTAAATGTTGGTTTGTCAACACCAAATGTTATGGTTTATGGTGAATGTGGGAGGTTCCCATTGTACATATCATCTTATTGTCGTTGTTTAAAATATTGGTGTAAAATAATTAATATGCCTGGAACATCGTTTACCTAAAAAGCTTTCAATATGCTTTTACATCTTGATTATCTTGGAAAGAATAACGGACATCTCATATTCGCACCTTTACTATTTAGATATGGTTTTGGTTGTATTTGGTTATCACAGACAGTTGGTAAATGCAAATATGTTTATTAAACAGTTTTGTATGCTGGCTATTGATATGTTTAAGCAGGAATGGCATTCAACTATTAATGAAAGTTCTAGATACCATTCATATCAGTTTAAGTCGTTGTTTTGAGCCAGAGTGTTATCTTGCTCACCTTCAATACAGAAATATTGCGTAATGCTTCTATACGGTTTAGATTAGGCCTTAATGATTTATTAATTAACCGCGGAAGATATGTTTCTATGGAAAAAACCCCAAAGATTATGTCCATTCTGTTTTATTATTGAAGACCTAATTCCATTTTATGTTTATTTGTCCTGTATATGAAAATCTAAGAAATAAGTATCTACCGCGAACTGTCTTTATCTCAAATCAACGTTAATCTATTGTCTTCCTTACTTTCCAGCAAAGAACCTCCAAAACAACACAAAGTTGCTCTATTTATCTACAATGCATTTTGTTAAGAAAAGAATTGATAAGTTAGGAAAATTGATTATATATGCCATTGTTAAGATGTATCTCTTTTGTATATGGGCCTATGGCCTTTCATACAATAAAAATATTGAATTGAATTGAATTGGTTCCAAGATGCTGTTATCGATGCCCATCGATCTGGATTTATAGTGTGTCACTTTAATGAGTAACTATGGTCTGTCATAAACCTCCCTGTCACACTGTAATTACTTATCTATAGAAATGTACAAAACAATGCTAAAAGCTGCTAATTCAGAAGACTTGCATTAAGCCACTGTGTCCTGAAAACAGAATTAAGCTTTTGTTTACAAACAAGAGAAAAGTTGGGTCACATGAAATGCAAATTAACTTAAGGCATTAATGTCATGCTAAGTCATCATGCTTGAGTGCGAGACAGGGCTTGTGTGGCATTATTGTGGGGAACGATGCCACTTATTTCATACAGGTTTTGTGTTGATGATTAAAGGAGTATTGTGTGAAGTTGCTACGGTCGACTTGTGAGAAATGTCTTCATGTTTTATTCAAATGTGACTTTTCTATCTGTTGCCAGGAATCTGAACGTAAACAGGAGGGAGGAAAGAACTAACAGAGAACATTCTCCGTGAAAATCCCTCATTAATAAAGATGGAGAAAAACCTGTAGCAGATTTTAAAGTAAAAGAAGGTATGGTTAATCCTACACTTCAGCATAGCTGCAGGATTTGTGATGGAACCGAATACTTTTAGACCTCTGCTTTCTTTAAAAGAAGCATTGAAACTTGTTATTTCGTTGCATTTTCTTAGTGCATATTTAATCCTGAACCTCCTGTCTTCTTTAAAAGCAATCATTTTGAGAACGGTCATGGATGATATTTTGAAATGTAAACTGTGACCTGGCCCACCATAGCAGCAGCCCTAAGGCAGGTAACCCTACAGTGTGTGAACGTATCTGAACGCTGCCTATGTTACAGGTGGGATGATGACGTGGTCTTCAAGAACTGTGCCAAAGGGGAAGAGGAACGCAAGACGAGGGGCTTTGTCAATGACACACTCAGATCAGAGTTTCATAAAAAGTTTATGGAGAAATATGTGAAATAACAGACTGTGTTACAAACTTGGATAAAGACTTGTGTTGCAACACTTTACATGGCTGATGAAACAAGAAATGTCGCTCATCTCGGTATTGCTGTTGTGAAATGTGGTTACGATGTTAGTTGTCTGCAGACAAAGCAACCTGTTGGTACTGTTTTCCTGATGAGGGTGATGAGTGGACAAAAGGAAATTCAAACCAGATCCCTGGCAGATCAGAAGCCATGTTCGTTTGGGTGTTGACAAACAGCCATGTTTCCCTGTCCAGGGGAGATAATCTGTACCTTTGTCATTTCTATCCGAAGGTTACTGTTAACATGTCGCCACCAGTGGAGGGGAGTGGCTGGGTGTCTTGAGTATCGTCTTCTCAATATTTTCATTGCATCTCTTAGGGACAATGGTATTGGGGGCGGTGATGTAGTCTGGTAGTTGAGGCTTTGCTCTTCCCGCCTTTGAGCCAGGTTCGAAGTTCCCACATACGGGTACAATGTGTGAAGACCATTTCTGGTATTCCCCACCGTGAAATTGCTGGAATATTGCTATAAAGCAGCATAAAACTAAACTCACTCACTCACCAGTGATATTGACATGTGTACTCAGTTACGATCAGAATTTGTTTCACTCTGTGACTCACTGGATCGGAAATGTCTGTACATATATCGTTTTCATACCTCTGTTTTCACCATGTCACATAACTATCAAAGAATCATCAATGAAAATGTCATATTGTTTTTAAGGGTAGTATATGTACATTTACTTACACATTATTATGATGCTATTAATGTACTAGTTTCTGTGGAAGGTCTGAACTTGAGCGCGAAAGTACATGCTGTTGATGAATATTTAGTTTACTGTGTCTTCAATGTCGCTAGGATCATCTGTGTCAAATAAATAAAGTAAAAACTTTCGTGTAAAGAGTTGTAATGTTGGTTAAAATATGATTTGAACGTCTAATGATAATTACTACATACAGTTCAAGTGAAGTGGGGTTTAACTTTGCATTCAACATTGTTGCACTAACAGGTGTGTGGAGTGATGATCAAGATTGTTGCACTGAGAGGTTCTACTACACTAACTCAGAATCACTTGCTTGCTGAGCCAGTTACGTGTGAAACATTTGGCCAGATGAGACATGTGAAATTTGTGATTGGATGAAATGAATAACGTTGCTATAGAAGTCTATGCTAAAACATTTGGTTTTGTGTAACCTAGAGCGACATGACTCCATGTGTGTGTGCAACATTCAAGATTGTGCATTTAGGAGGTGACATGCATATGTGTAGCGTGTGAGGTGTGACGTGTGAGGTGTGTGTGACTGGTTTTGTGGAGTCAGCCAACAGATACCCTGTTGCAGCATTACAGCGATATTCTGCGCAGACACAGTACACTGACTCTGACCCAACCAGTTTAAGTAAATAACCACAGGCCTAGTAAAAGTCAGTTGGGCCAATAAATTTCTACAGTCACTAGCTAGTGAATTTTATGGGATCATTTTGTAAATATATCACTCTTCTGACTTGTTAAGTTATAATACACTTTCAAATCATGTACGATTATGGCCTGATAAAAATATTCATAATATTACCAGCTTAATGATAAAACCCATGTCTACATTCAAATTGCGGGCGAGTGAATTATTTTGTGGGCTAACTTTCAAGCATAACTAGCCCGACTGGCCAGCAAAATTTGGAAACTATTTCTCACACTGGCGCCAACCAGTACTTGTTTTGGTACCACGAGCTCCAGGCAAGATACAGAGTACCATCCGCTCACATTATTGGTTTGACAAGTGGGGGACCGAACCGGAGACCTTCCACTCTGTGATGAGAAACTCTCTACTCCAGATCACAGAGGCAGGGGAAGCAAGTACAGACCTGCGGTCCTCCAGGCCCCAGACTCCATGTTGCTCAGGTTGAGGTCTTGTGGGATTGTTTAAAGCAAGCTGATACCTGTTCTTTGTACTCCCATGATAACGTTTTATCCAGCCATTAAAAATATGAAACATTTATACTTCTGTTCATATCTTTGTCAGAAATATGTATTGATAATCACAGACATACTACTTAATAAGTGATGCAGAACAGATTCGCCAATACTGAGCTGGAACAGTTCTGTCTGCACATGATGACATCAGACTAGAA